ATCTTGGAGTAGGTCCCGGACTTGACTTCTGTCCGCTGAATGGAGACGTTGTCCCGATTCATGGCCTCTTCGTCTTTGATGGCTTTGGCGCCCAAACCCTTGCGGATGAGCGCCATCTCCTTCCTCATGTTGGCCTTCCTCTCGAGGTCCTCCTTGTCTTTCCTCTCCTTCTCCTTCTTGTCCTTATACTTCTGCTTCTTCGCCGCCATCTTCTCCTTCTTCTCCTGTTCCTCCTTCTCTTTGGCCTCTCTCTCCTCCTGTTCTCTCTTCGCCTGTTCTTCGCGGGCCTTGTGTTCCGCCTCTTCCTTCTTCTTCTTCTCGTCCCTCTCAGCCTTCTTCTGGCTCTTCTTCATCTGTTCCGACACTATTGGCATTGTTTTGGTCACAAGTAATCACAACTCAGTTCTTCGCGGGCCTTGTGTTCCGCCTCTTCCTTCTTCTTCTTCTCGTCCCTCTCAGCCTTCTTCTGGCTCTTCTTCATCTGTTCCGACACTATTGGCATTGTTTTGGTCACAAGTAATCACAACTCAATCCAAAGATCAAACAAAACTGTTTGCAATCAAAAAGTGAACCGAATTTGAAATGAAACCGAATTTCAATTCAAATTTAAATTTTCAAGAATTGAAAACTTTTCAAATTTCTCGCACTTCTTGACTGCAATAACTTTATTACACTTTTAATACATTCACTGCTTTTGCATACAGTTTGAAGTGCAGTGAGAGTCGACTCAAGCAAAGTCTCATTGACTCCCACTTTGTGTTCAAACAATACTTTGCTTTTCATTCAATTCATAATTAAATCGAAAAAATGGTAAAAAATTAATGATTTATTTGTGAATTGCTTTTCAATAACTATTTGTTTATTGTTTAGAGGTTTAGATTTTGCGGACAAAACGACTGTCAGGACTGGCTTTTGGCACAAATCTCTTTGCTCTCAAAACTCGTAATTATCTCTCATTTTAATCTTAACACCACTTCTATTCATATTATCCTCTCTTTAAGACATCCATCAAAATGAAACTCTTGTGCAATGAATGTCTCAATGATTTGATTGACAAACAAATGAACGTAAATATGAAAGAATTGAATTGAAAACTGGATTTAAACTCAAATACGGGTCATATGTTTGACAGATGGAGAAAGTGATGAAAATAGGATCCGATGCCAAACTGGACGCTCAAGATATGAAAGCATGTGTTTCGGCCGTTGTCTTCGTTTTGTCCAACTCTTGCAAATATAAGACCGATTGTGAGACACTTTCACATGAATTACAACAATTAGGTCTTCCCAAAGGTATTCATCTCTTGACAGACAACTATTTGTTACTATTAATGGTTAATATGATGTCTTAGAACACAGTCTATCACTTTGTAAAGTGTACTCAGAAAACATGGATCGACTCCAAGAGGCTCTTAAGCAACAGAGTCTTCGATGTAATTTGTTTTTGTTATTTCATTATAAAAACATATAATTTCTAATTCAAATGAAATATCATTTAGTGAGTCGTTTGAATCAAATTGAATATAAAATCGACACTCAATTCAATAGTTCATCTCATAGAGTGAAAGCACCGGCACTTGAAATAAGTGTTGACACACTTCGTGACCAAACCATTGAGAAGACAACTTTTTACGTAACTCACGAAAAATTGTCGGCTTTAATATATGGTATGATTTGAATGCATTGCTATTACATGTGGTTTACAAT